CGAAAAATTTTATATTTAACCCTGAAGGGGTCAAACTTGTGAGCACCAGTTACGAATGAAATAATGAGATTTACTTCCTCGGGTAAATTATTTATACGAAATTATTTTTTTTATCTGTAGAGCCTCGAAAGAACAAGTCAGCACAAATGACCACAACATTAAGGCCTTGGAGAATCTCTTTGTTACGAAAAATGTCGAAGGGATCGAGATCTGTCATTATACTTCGGATGATAGACTTTTGGTAAAATAAATTGGTTGAAAAAAGACTAAACTAATTAATATAAAAGTTTTCAGCTGAACGTAATTGAAGTCGAAGAGAATTGTACACATTAAAAACAACTGAGTCTACATCTTGTTTCTTTTCTTAAAGGTTTACCACGAAACCTAACGTATCGATCTGTTCGTCAAGTCATTCATCCAAAAAAACAGGCATTTGTCACGCTTACCAGACCTTGCGTGATAACTGCGGCGTCAATACCGCATTTTACGTAAGAAGGGGGAATGTTCGCGTCACCGTCAATCTCGAGTGCTGGGTTCTGTCACCTTACGTCCAGGAAAATAAATCATTATTAATAATTCGTTGTCCACTGTTCAGCAAGTACTCGTTTACAGCTGTCTTCTAGGATCAGTTCAGATGTTGTTCTAAAATGAATAATGACGTCTGAATTTAATTTCCCGTCAGATGAGGGAAGACTGGGTGTTAGCTGTTGGTCTTCTTGGATGATTTCTTGAGTTTGTTGTAACACGCATGACACACGCGGACAGGGGCATGGATTCCAAGACGGGTCACCTCTGATTCGTAACTACTACACCTGAAGAAGAAAAAGAACAAAAAGTGATGTCACGCCGAGTGGTAAGCAGTCATTCTAGTAAAACCAGTCATTCTAATACTACAGTCAAACTAGTAAAACCAGTTATTCTAGTAAAACCAGTCAATCTAGTGAAACACTCAAACTAGTAAAATCATTTATTCTAGTAAAACCAGTCAATCTAGTAAAACCAGTAATTCTTGTAAAACCAGTTATTCTAGTAAAACAAGTCAAAGAACTAAAACCAGTCAGTTCAGTAAACCAGTCGAAGGGCTAACAACCCGTAAGCATTTTCTGTGTTGACTCCAGTCACGTGATACCTTGCGCAGAACACCTTCCCACAATCCCTGCAGTGATGACGTCTCTCAATGAATTTGAACTTGATTCCGCAGCTCGAGCAAAGGTCGGCAAATTCATCCTTGACCCAGTGATCTGCCATGCGACCTACAGCAAAACATGCAGGTACGACAGAACATATGAGATTAAGCAACATATGAGGCATTTAAAGGCAGACCTTAATTTCTCACCATTTTGGGAGTCTGGTTGTAATCTTCCTCCCAATTGTTGCTCGAAATGCAAGGACCATTACCTTTCAATGCATGTACTCGCTCTAGAAATCGTTGTAAGCAGAGTGTAATAAAAATGCGCCGACAAAGAGATAAAGAGATTCGCTATCACATCGTACCTGCAGCATCGGTCACGGACCAGCTGTAAATTCGTCCCCGAAAATCACCAACCAGTAACTTGCGATGATCCCTAAAAGAACAACGAAGACATTCAGAAATAAAACTACACAAACAAATCTTGTCCGTCCGTACGTCCATGCGTCAGTGAAGTGGGTCAGTGAACTAGCTCGAACAATTGGTTAAGGGATAGCAAATTGCTTTGATAATTATATAGGGTCTCAGTAGGCCAAAACGCTTTTGTAGCGATTCAGGTTCTAACTTGGAATTAACCTAGCGTCTAGGCTATATTTATCCTAGTTTGGCCTTGTAATTTGGTTCTGGTTCAAACTTACTTGGACACGAGTAAAGAAGTGATTGCCGCAGGAGCTGAGTTATCTTCTCTGGCAAACGCTGTATGCATTGTCAACTTATGTCTCAGCACCAAACGTCTTCTCCACACTTAAAACAAAACAAAACAAAAAGTCAGGAAGGACAACAAAAACAAAAAAAAACAATCACAACCCCAACAGCGACAACAACAAACAATCACAACCCCAAAAGCCAGGGACATCACCGACAAAACCCTTTCGACAGTTTTTCATAAAAAAGTCTGCATACGAGCCAAGTGGCCCATCAGGCCGGAGCTTATCCCGGTTTCTGTAGCATGAAGCGACTAGAAGTATTTCTACTCCCCCCTGGATGGGATGCTAGTCCATCGCTAGTTCATACTAGTTTTTCAAAAAACAACCACAAAATACCTGGTTTTGGTAAGTCTCCTTTTTCTTTGTGATGAATGATAACATAATCTTCGTCTATACTTTCATCGCGCAAGTTAGGTGTCACGTGACGTCCTCTCTCCACTTCTTCACTCGTCCCAGCATGCTCTGCTGGCTTAACAGCCACGTGGTCACCAATTTTTTCCTCGGAAGTTTCATCGTTTGGCATTTCAAGACGAGGCTCTGCTTGTTCGGAGATAACAGCTCGCTGGTTGGATTGCGGGCTCTGATCCATCGAGGCTTGATCACTTCCTGTAGGAGAAGAGTCTGGGGCTGGCTGTGATTGCAAGGCAGAGTCCTGAGTACCAGTCCCTTGAGACTCGTCCCGGTCTGAAGTTTCCTTCTCAACTTGTTTGCTTTTTGATGTAGAGCCATCACTTTTTGGGGATGGTGGTTTGAGAAAACGTCGGTTCTTCGCTGCTTCGTCAAAGAATTCGATTCCCCACATCTGCAATGAAAGAATTCAAGAAAATGACAGTTTAAAATGCGACTCTTCCTCCACAGAAGGCATTTCAATAGGTGGGAGAATTAATTCATTCAATGAACAGTTGGCCAGTGCTAAAACTACGAGGCCCTTCAACTACAGCGTTTACCAAATTTGATGGAAAGTAAAAACTCACCCTAACAACACCATCCATAGAGCCCGTGAGGATCACGTTTTCTTCATCCCATTCTGAAAGCTACAAAATAATCAAAAAAGGTTTTAAAAATAGTGTTTTTTTCGCACATTAACATTAGATACGCTTTCATTGACTCACTTGTAAAATTACCTAATCATGAAATAATTTGAGGTGTTTTCTCTCTTTAACCTCACCCACGGTCCGCTCAGAACAGGAAAATACCGTTATAAAAGGCTTCATGTAAATTTGGGTACAAATAAGGAGGTTGCTGTTAAAAGGCCATTTCCGAGTTGGCTTTTGCCTCTGTATCAAAACGAGTCTTAGTGCGGAACCATTCATATCAAAATGTTTTCTACCTACAGGTTCATTTTCATGAAAATCAAACTCATTTTCATATGAAACGTTTTGCACGAGGACTCGTTTTGAAACAGAGGAACAAGAAAAGACTTCTCTTTAACCTTCAAAAACATTCCCAGCTGTCTTCAAAATCTAAACTCTTTCTACAAAACGAACACACTGTCATGCAGGCAAGTAATGAGAAAAAAGAACATCATCAACCAGGGGATATTGTCCTGATACAACACTAAATTCTCAAAGCTAACATCGAGAGAAATGTATGAGAATCTGTTGGGAGAATTGAGAAGTGTGGTAATACTTCAGCCTACCTCTGACATGGCGCAGCACTGAATGTGATTGTTGTTTTGTAACGAAGTGTTCTCTTTTACGATCAGCTGACCGTTCACGGACCAAACGTACAGATATGTGCCTGCACACGTCGCGATATCACCCTGAGGAAAATACATACACAATACGTGTTCAATCAAGTTTGTTATCTTGTAAAACAGGACGAGCAAGAATTTTGGTGATGAAATAAGCACCTTATAAAACTATCACTCGCGAACAGAATCCAGGTGTTTTGATAAGTCTAGCCTCTTCCAGTCGTTCAGTTAGTTGGGGCGCAGCGCGAAAAACGCAGAGCGAAAAAACTGGGGAGAAGCGCGGCGAGAGAAAGCTGCGCATTCCTTGTTTTTTCGCTCGCCGATTTTCGCGCTACGCCCCAATTAACTGAACACCTGGAAGAGGCAATGGTAAGTCCAATACAAAAGTGAGTATCCTATTACTAACTCGCAGAAAAAAACGTGTTCCAACAGACTAAGAGTTAGCCAGCTAATGGTTAGTACCCATTTGAGCTCATGCAAGCATTCATCGATATACCAATTATTACAAGACTCACGAACATTTCTCTTTCTTTTTTCGATTGCAACGACTGCAGTTTCATTCTTTTCATATTCACCCGTTCCTCTACATTTTCAGATTTTGGATACTTCTATAGAACAAACCAAAAGTTATCGCCTTGATTGCGTTTAAGAACTGACTAAACTTTTGGCACTGAGAAAAATTTTAAAGTTTTGCGTATCTTCCATAGAAACATAAAAATAATAGCAGATGGAAGTTCTTTCATATTTCGGATGCTCCTATAAATAAGGCCGTGTTTGGAGCAGATTTTGGAATGCCACATAACGCTCAAGAGTGTTGCGTGACAGTCCAATTAACGGCTACGAAGAAAACTGGAATGTCACGTCAATGAGTTAAAAAACTGAGAACAGTTATAACTTACTGTTAAATCGTTGATGCAAATTGCAGTGATAGGAGCCATGTGTTGTGATAACTGCCTGACATAAGTCAGTTTACTTAAGTCCCACACAATACACGTCTTGTCCTGCAAAAAAACAAATCATGGTGATAAGCAGTCACACTCAGACCAATCGTACGACGTCCTCAAATACCTCTTCATGTACACTACGTCGATATGTAATTTTAGCTGTTTGGATTGGTTTTGCAAACGGACGGACTGACAGACACAGACAGTCAAACAGACAGGCAGACAAACAGACAAGCCGACCACAGTTCTGTCCTCGTAATAAACTTACGGATTATGAATACATGTTATAGAGACGCGGTCGAAATAGCTCGAGAACATGACAGTCCTCGTGGATCTACATCAACACTGTGAAAAAATCCGTCATTAAGATAAGGCCAGACGCTTAATAAACTGACGCCTTACTGGTGTAAAGATGAAGAAATATGCCTCACATCACCACAGTTTGTACTCGGTTCCTGGGTGGCAACTTTTCAACGTACAGAAGTTTACAAACATGTTCTGACAAAAAAAGAACAGGTTCAGTAAAACGCCCCACCTCAGAACCGCTGACAATAAGATTGTAGGCTGTGGACACCGCTAAACACGTGACAGATGCGGAATGGCCGTACAACACCTGTTAACAGAAAATTCATCAAGAGTCATGGTTATTAAAGTGATGTCTTGTTAAAAGGGACGCATAGCAGGGGAAGAGTGTGGAGAATGATTTACTCACCTCATGTAAAATGATCTGCGGTTTTTTCTCTCTTCCACTGCTTTTCACCATGTCCCACACACAGACGAGCTGCATCATAACACAACAGAATTCGTTAAATCACGCAACGCTAAGGATTGCGTGACTAAAACGCCTGAAGAGATCTTTGAAGAAGATTATTACGGTGAAGGCAGAACGGACCTACTAAATCTGGCATATTGAAAATGGAAAAACCAAAGCGAGAAATATGTGTTGTTAACCATATAAACGGAGAAATGGGTTTGTCAACGGTTTGTACTAATGGTCAGCAAGAATCCCTGATGGTAATTCCGTCCGGATTGATTTACCATTTACTCAACAACCCCTATATCACCGAGAAAGCCTAGGACGAGTTCGACTTGATCATAATTTTAAGATGGCTGAGAAGAATTACAAATGGCATGCACATTATCCATTCTGACATTTTGGTTGGAAATTTTGGACTACATTTCAAGACGTCCCGTTTATTTCGAAAATTTTCCGGTTGGTTGAGGCAAAATTGTCTCACTATTTACATTCTGATCGAAATTTCCGGAATTCTGGGCAAAATGGGAAATATCCAGAGATTTCATGCTTGTAAAGGGAAAAACCGAAATTTGTAAAATAAGGCCAAGGTTATCCCCTTTTGACTTGTCTATTTAAAAGAAGATTCCACCATGGCTAACAAATAAAACGGTGAGAAGAGGGTCATGTAATTGTCTTGGTGTGTCCTCCTTACCGTGCTTGTGCCTCCTGTTATCAGAGTGTGGGAGTCTGGGCACGATATACACAGGACTTGTCCAATATGGAAGTTCTCGTAGACGGCTAGGATCTAAGAGTAAAGCGGACGACAGTGATTTAATTACCAACATGGGTTGCCTTCTAACAAATACTCGAGATCAAATTGAGTGATTATATTTACCCGTTCCGTTTCATAGTATCCAGTACGCATGCTCAAATCACCAAACCCCCACGCGATGTAGCGGCTGTTGTGTGGAGGGACTAATACCTACGAAGAAACAAGGGATTAAACATTAACATATACAAAGACAAGGATTTCAAAGACAAGATAAGAATTAGCCAGTCTTATACTTTTTACAAACGAGCCGGATTAAATTCTCAGTAAATGGTTTACTTCAATTTACTAATTACAAAAATAAAACACGAAGGAAAAAAAAATACATAGGTTTGCGTTGAATGAGTGCAAAGTGCGTTAAGTTATGTTTACATGTACTGCAACAGACGCAAGATTCAAAGGTCTGGGTGCAAATCCAGGCCGGGATCATTGTGTTGTGTTCTTTGGTAACACATTACTCACACAATGCTTTTATTTAACAAATAAAGAAGCCTATGCCGTGTATTACACTGTGATAAAAGACGACGGGCATTTGAGAACACGAGGGAAATGCAGAAAACACGAGCTGCAGGCGAGTGTCTTCTACATGTCTCGAGTGTGCTCAAATGTCCGGAGTGTTTTATCACAGTGTAATACACGGCTTAGGATCCTTCATTTGCTTTATGATATAGAGGAAATGTGGCAAAAAACAATGAAACACCCTTTTCCTATGTTTTATACTCTGATAAAACATGGGTTTTCGACCAATCAGAGTGCGCGCAGGGTCCTATCTATATTATAAAGGATGATAAATGAGTACCGACAAGTCGGCGAATGGGCTAACTAGACAAAATAGCGGGTTGCGTTCTGTTACGAACACGCTTGGAAGTAATACTCCCAGTCACTTCATACTCTGGAAGGTAGAGTTACATGCTGCCTTCATAAGCCACATTGGCAACACACGCGNAGTCTGGGCACGATATACACAGGACTTGTCCAATATGGAAGTTCTCGTAGACGGCTAGGATCTAAGAGTAGAGCGGTTGACAGTGATTTAATTACCAACATGGGTTGCCTTCTAACAAATGCTCGAGATCAAATTGAGTGATTATATTTACCCGTTCCGTTTCATAGTATCCAGTACGCATGCTCAAGTCACCAAACCCCCACGCGATGTAGCGGCTGTTGTGTGGAGGGACTAATACCTAACAAGAAACAAGGGATTAAATTTAACATATACAAAGACAAGGATTTCAAAGACAAGATAAGAATTAGCCAATCTTATACTTTTTACAAACGAGCCGGATTAAATTCTCTGTGTTCTTTGGTAAGACATTACTCACACAATGTTTTTTATTCAATAAATAAAGAAGCCTAAGTCGTGTATTACACTGTGATAAAAGACGACGGGCATTTGAGAACACGAGGGAAATGTAGAAAACACGAACTGCAGGCGAGTGTCCTCTACATTTTTCGAGTGTTCTCGAATGTCCGGAGTGTTTTATCACAGTGTAATACACGGCTTAGGCTTCTTCAATTGCTTTATGATATAGAGGTAATGTGGCGTAAAACAATAAAACACGCTTTTTCTATGTTTTATACTGTGATAAAACATGGGTTTTCGACCAATCAGAGTGCGCGCAGGGTCCTATCTATATTATAGAGGATGATAAATGAGTACAGGCAAGTCGGCGAATGGGCTAACTGGACAAAATAGCGGGTTGCGTTCTGTTACGAACACGCTTGGAAGTAATACTCCCAGTCACTTCATACTCTGGAAGGTAGAGTTACATGCTGCCTTCATAAGCCACATTGGCAACACACGCGACGTTTTCCGGTGGGGGGGACTCCAATATAAAAAGGACGGGGGTGCTCGCCGTACCTTTTAGGGGGTTAAAAACGCGGTTTTTGTGTCTTTTAGAGTGTTCAGTTTCAAAAGGTCCACAGCAGGAGCTTTTGCGGCATCTTTTAGGGTATNTTTAGTTTCAAAAGGTCCACAGCGGGAACTTTCGCGGCATCTTTTAGGGTATTGAGCAGAAAAATATATAAGACACGAGATATTTGGAAATCAACTGAGAATTGATTTGAATTGGTATCTGTTAGGAGTGAAAACATTTCAAGCCACGCCCACAAAATAGGACCTTGGTACCTCTTAGGGGCTCTTTTCAAAATTTCCAACGAGCACCCCCGTTCTTTCTATGTGGGAGTCCCCCCGGGGACTTTTGTTCAACAGCTTGAAGATAGTAACTACTATTTACCTTGTTTTTCTCCACAGCCAAAAGTCCTCTATTGTCAGACTGAATCATCTGTCCAACAGGACCTTTTAGTTCTGTCAGGAAAATAAAACAGAAACAATTATACAAAACTGAACGTTTTGATGCAGTGTCATGAAGTTTACCTCAAAACAATTTAGTGATTTCCACTGACCTTTGACCGGCTGGGCTGATGGCACAAGATTGGGAAGATTATGAAAGAACAAACGATCAACATTGACAAGGGTCCCAGTCTGCGTGTCTGATTCCACGCTGCGTAATACTCTCTTAGGAGGATGAGCACGCTTAAACAGCTGAAAGAAGATCACACTGTCACTCACAGATAATAGCACACTAGGTACTGTTTAAAATGAAGCAAAATTATTTTTCGCGAGAACTAACCTGTTTCGGTGTTTGTCCAAAGTTGTCGATCATACTTATAATGGATTTTCTCTTTATTGGATCGTCGATGCGATGGAAATGTGACAATTGTTAAGGAGATGCACCATGTTACGATCAATAAAAACAATTCGGAAATCGACATTTATGATACACTGGAAAGCGCTAGCTAAACGGATTCGCAAGTTGTCGAAATGCAGTTTTAATGATTCAAACTTGTGTTGACTTGCGTTGAGTTAAGTAACAATGAACAACTTTGCAAATTCGATAAGGTCAAAAGAAGTGGGAAACTTGCTTTCTCCGATTGACCAGCGCTTAACACAGTTGGCAATGCAAATCTTCGATCGAAGCGAACTTTGTGTAAAGGATATCTACATTGCTCTCGTAGTAGTAGTAATAGAAGACGTTGCTGGCCTCCACAGCCAGAGGTCCCTGTTGTTTGTATCCAAATATCAAGTCAATCCATTCATGGAGATGAGCACTGACGTAATCACACTCCAGGGCCTGGGATAGAAATAGATCACGTGTCACGATTTGAAATGGAAAATTAAAACTAAGCCGCGATACATGTGCAAATGTGCATGTGCAAATCCCGCCAAAAGCCGCCGCTACCAAATGTATGTATTTGTTTCGAAGCAATGAGACCTTCAAAAACTCCCAAACCGAATACTGAGACGTTTAATTACGTTTAGAGCCAAATGTAGTTCGGTTTACGTCGAATAGGCGAAAGGAATTCAGTTAATAATTTTATCCAAATGTTTGGTCGACACGTATTTGGTTTGTCGCTGTATTTCTATAACGTCTTTTGACAAACTTCTTCACAATTTAGCCTGTAAGCAGGCTCCTGGCCAGGCAAGCTATCGCCGTTACGCTTCAAATCCTCAGCACATTCGAGCCAACGAAAACCGGTAGTTGGGTGGATTTTCTGCGCTTAACCCCTGTACACAGTATACAATCACATGCTCATACTTTTCTGTGAAGCCGAATAAACTCCCGCGGATCGCCTTTGGCCCAGGGTGGTAAACAGACATCACCGATGACATCACCGTTCTGCTTGGTGCCGAATTCAAACTTGTTGTGGTTCGTGAGGAATTCTGGGAGGTAGAAGAACTCTGGAATCAGCTCTTTGACGTCCGCCATGTTGGTGTGGGCCGCAGACAGCCACGCGTCTTTCACAGAGTGAAACAAGCGGTCAGGCAGGTCAAAATTCCCCTAGGGAGAGGACACGGGAAGGTTTAGTGTTAAATAATCGCGGCAAACAAAGAAATGATGTCTAGTAAGAAAGGGGAAAATACAATTGCTAGAGAAACTGACACTTGTCCACTGGATAACGCTTTATTCGGTGGCTAGCGTTATCCAGCCCTCGAGCAACTGGGTCTTGGACAAGTGTGACAGAATGAAAACAAAAAAAGGCACAACACAATTACCTGAACTCTTAGAAAGTGCTGAGTAAACGGTTCAAGTCTGATGAGATAGGAGGCTACTATCATGGTGGATGAGTAGTGAGTCCCATAATGATACGGAGGAATCTCTCCTGATAGGAAAACAGACAAAAGTGGTTATAGCTCAGTACGCACACATGAAGTATCAGAAATGTAAAGATTCGCAGTCTCACGGTGCAGCATAGCGTAAAACAAAAGAGCTGTGTGTATCCAGCCCCCGGTTTCTACTTAATCATGTTCTAGACCATCCATTTCTACACAAGCTGGCAGTAAGAGAATTGACTCTAAAATAATCTTGAGGGCTGCAAATTCAGCAATTTCCTCCTGAGCGTTAGCACCGTAACGGAATTGGGGGACCATGAAGGCAAGAGGACTTCCTCACCGAAAACGCGCATTAGAAGTTAAAAAATTCTGACTTCACTTATTTTACAAAACTTCATGGCTGTTGACCAATCAGCGCTGAGAGATCTGCCGGTTTTTGTAATAATGCTGTGTATACCTGAAGGATCCTCCCACTCTCGATACTTCTTCTGAAACTGTTTCAGTCTACCTTCAGACTGAGCTCCCATTGGTTTGGAAAACACGCGGAAAGTCTTCGGGTTGTTGAGATCAAGCTCCTGTCAAAGATACAGGGTAAGTAAGTGTTACAAACTGCTTTGATTGCATACAAGCAGGACTAAATTGTGCATTTAATTAGATAGTTAAGTTAACCCGTCATCCTTGTGTCATTGAGGTAATATATCAAACACAAAAGACCGTGTTCGATCACATTTCCAAACACCTCGAAGTTCGTCACTGCGCGTCGTATTTTCAACTCTCTTCTCGGTGTTTGAAAATGATACTTCCTGCACGCTGTAATGGGTTACTCTTCTCCCCGACCTCAAAAACAAAATCAGCTGTTATTTAATTTTTCCATTCACCACGAGGTTGTCTTTATTTTTGTCAAAGCTTTTTGTAGCTTTGACAATTCGCAACAGGACTACGCGACGACCAACAAGCATTTCTGTTACCATTATTAACATATAGTCTAAGTGGATTACATAAACGCAACAGAGAACCACTACACATATTACTGGCATCTCCTCAACAACGAAAATAAAAAGAAACTCAACAGAAGTACAACAACTGACAACAATCGTCACCACTCCTCGCGCCTCCTCACTTGACTTCTCAGAGGGAGGAGTGGACTGGATTCAGTCCCAGACCCTTACAAAGTGTTGTTACCTCGGAATCATAATCAGAAAGCACCCACGGGAAGACTGGATACTGCATGAGATCATTGTACGAGCGGCCTGCTAATGTGTTCAGATGCATCAGATACTGGAAGTTCGTTATTTCACCGCGCTAATAACAAGAAAGCACAAACAACAATTAAACTTTTACTCTTCAGGTTGAAAAATCAATTTTACTACTAGTTGTGAGAATTTGGTAATAAATCAAGACGATGTTCTCCCGACCCCCTCCAACGTAGTTCACAGTTTTTGTCACTTGCCTGCTTGCCAAGACATCATCATTTAGGGACCTTATTATTGAGATTTTCCCGTAGTTTATAATTGTAGCAACCCCTTTGTCATAGACGGGTACCTATCTAGGGAGGGTGGTAGGGTTTTAAAAGAATCTAGGATTCGAGCACAGAATGTAATGGTTATGACATCAATGTATCAAAGTTTATAGTTACCTCCCATCTCTGTGTTACCGATCGCTCACCCATCAAGGTGTTGATAAGACCCAGCCTACGATGGAAGAGAAGTTATATCAGATCACAGCCTGCTGACATATGTACTTGTAAATTCTCCCCACTATCTTAACTGAATAGTAAAAGGCAAGTAAGGAGTGTTCGAACTTTGACTCACCCTGCTTCCACGTCTGTGTCTCTTTTCATACCAACCACTGACTCTTCAGCGTTCTCGCGAAGCGTTGGTGCCCTGGCCACGAGCCTACCATAGAAACAAACGACGCAAGTTGCACTATGACCAACAACTTAACAGCACGTCAAGCGAGCAAGTCACGCGCAAGAGGGTCTCGTTCGAGTCACGCGAGCGACACACGCACCAGCTAATCACGAAAGTCGCGCGCAAAGCGAGAAAAACTTGAGCCTGTCAACTTAAAGCACCTACAGTGCCTACAGGTTAAAGTTCCATGTACAACAACAGGAACAAGAAATTCTTACTTACTTATCGTACACTTTACTTCTTACAGGTTTGGGAAATACAAGGAAATGATTTCGTCCATCACTGGAAAACACTTCCAGAGCTGTCTCCTGAAATAGGATCAACAATAACAAAATGAATAAGATAAATAAAGTAAATCTTTTTGACCACGGGACTTTTCTAGTCCGCCATATTGAGCTGGAACTACGGTAAAAGAAGAAGAGTAGAGGGAAAAAAAGAAGAGAAGTGAAACTGCCCGCAACGTCGCATTTTAAATACATTTTAACCTCAGAAGAGTCCCCTGCAGATCAATATTTACTTTATTTATTTCATATGTGAACATGAGAGGTTCTAAAAGTTTCAGAAAAACTATTGAACAATGACACCATTATGCTTTAAGGTGGCTCAAAACAGTTTTCAGCACTTAGATTATGATGGGTTGTTATAACCACTCTTTATCACTCGATGCTACAATCATGGTATCAAAAATTTGCCCAATCATTTGTAAGCACTACCTTAAATTTTCGAATATTTAGGGTGGCTCTGAACCCTATAAACAGAATTTTTTTAAACTTTGCCAAAAGTTGCGTCTTATCATGCTTATCAAAAGTTGATGATACAAAAAAATTTCACTGTGCCGTTTTTGAATTATAAGCCCCTAAAGCTGTAATTAAGGGTGTTTTTAGCAGGTTATACTGTTGCTATGGTAACCTACTGTGTCACGAAAATGATAACAACGTGTTTACCAATGATTGGGCAAATTTTTGATACCATGATTGTAGCATCAAGTGATAAAGAGTGGCTATAAAGACCCATCAAAATCTAAGTGTTGGAAACTGTTTTGACCCACCTTAAGTGCATGAAAAAGAACTAACAACTAACAGAATTAGGTTTGCCAACGACAGTCTGATGCTAGCAGAGTTAAACAAACAAAACATACCTGGAATAAATATCGTCTTTTATGGACCTCGCGGATATCTTCATAAGCCCACTTGCTGCACCTAGAAAGAAACGAGGATGAAAAACACGCGAGGCAGATAAGTACAAATAGGAAACATAGCTAATTGAAAAAAAAGATGGTGAAAGGAACCTCGTCACAAAGGGCGCCTGTTTTAAAAATGGCCTATTTTTTTCCCTCCATTTTGTTGTTCGTGAGCCGTTCAAACTTTCCTTAACTGTAACCATCCCTGTTTATTTTCGACTTTTAATTACATCTGCATGTATTTTACCTTACAAAACTTTTTTTTTTTTTGTGACTCCCTCACCTTGAAAGAAATTTTTGACATCAATAAAATTAAAGGATAAGCGCGCATCATTATTTAAGAAATAAAAAACATGTATCGTGTTTCTATCGAGTTATAGAAACACGAGTGGAAGTTTGGGAGAACGAGAGATGCTGTGGGAACACGTAGGCGAGTGTTTCCACAGCTTTTTCGAGTTCTCCCAAACTTTCACGAGTGTTTCTATAACTCGATAGAAACACGGAGAACATGTTTTCTATTTCTTTTAGAAAACAACGCGAAAAAAAAATGAAAACAACTTGTTAACTTTGATTATCAATATGTAAATTTTCTTTGCTCGCGCCATCACTGCGTCAACGGCTCGTGCTAGTTCTGTGTTTCTATTGAGTTATAAAAACATGATTTTTAACCAATCAGCGCGCGTATTTTCTTAGGACTGTTTTCTGATATTTATTACTTACATTCGTTCTGTAGTCCCTGACCGAGGTTTATCGTGAGAGGAAGTGGGAATTATAGGATCGTGAGTCCTGAAATGACAGGAGACGCGTTAGTGATCCTTATACAGAGTACTGAACCACCTTAGTGCGGCTTACATGATGAACCTACCCTTGTGGCAGTGAGTCAATATCTTTGATTTCCTTGGTGGAGAGAAGTGTCACGCCATCTACTACATAGAAATGCTCCTTTCCAAACAAGAAGAGTCCTTCTGCCGTGTCTAAGCCCTGGATTGTGGCGCATCGGAACATGGAAGTAATCTGATGAATAAGGAAACAAATCCTTTAGGACGGTGATGCACTAAGCACAGTTTTCCAAAAACTGTAGAGCCGACTACATTTGTGCGGCACAAAACAATAACTAAACTACCAGACAAGTGCACAATGGATGGTTTTCTTTACCACTTTTACCACTTCAAAAATTTGTTGCAGAATTCCATTAATCAACGTGAAAAGAAGACTTTGCTAGTAATTAGTGTCACAGTTAATTGATTTGAAACTAAGAAACACTCCTCGCAATTGTTTTAAATTGAGCAATTTCAGTAAAGAAGTCTGAGGGAAAAAAAAAACTTCACGGCACAGTTCAACGAGATTTAAAACCACAACTTTCACGTTACCAATTTGCACAATGAGCCACACATTAGAAATAACGTCGAACTATGCGCTTACATGTTAGCGTAGAAGGAATAGAATAAGAAATGAAATACGAATGAAATCATACAAGAACTGAGGTCAGCTGCAACAAAGTTGCCAGCCAAGTCACACAGGAGATGACCTGACGGCCGAAAACTTGTAGAATTCTACTCTAAAGGTCCAGTGAAGATAGATAATCTTGAACCACAACCTGCTAGCGTTTTGATAACAAAAAATTAATTCAAACAATGGTAATTATACTCAGTATACGTAAGATAGAACTTACCGTCTCGCCTGCTTCAAGCAGCTTGACAATTGTCTGGTTATTGTCAACCTGATAAAGAAATTCATAAAGAATTACCAACAGGCGTACTCCACCCATATGCTAGCCTGCGAACGCAGACGTATTTCCGGCTGTCGCTTGATTGGTTAAATAAGAGCTGATGTCACTCAAATTTGATCCCTCGATGGTTTCGCTGACGTCATTTTCGGCGGAGACAAGCGACAGACAGAAATACGTGTGCGTTCGCTGGCTACTCACATGCCAACGATCACTTGAGATGAATCAGAGCAATTGACGTGGGTTAAATGTTTTGTCTCTGATATTTTAAGAATTTTGCCTACCTCGCTTCCTTCATTTTCTTCTGTTACGTTGCTTGGTTCCGAAGATATTTGCAAAGTGAAGGCCTTCTTTTCTTTCTTTTCTCCTCCTTCAACAACTACATTAACGAAACACGAGACACTTAACGTTATTAATCAGTTAAAATAGTTTTTGACCACGAAGAACAAGAGAGCTTACACCACCATACGCAAAGTTATAGAGAAACCGCTGCTCACCCCTCTCCTGAGTGAGGGCTTCAATTGGCCCCAATCCCTGCACCACTCGTCCTCTCAGTTTAAAATGTATTTTGCTGTCACGACTAATGGGAGCTCTGCCTTTTGATGATTTCTGAAAAAAAAAACAAGAAAAAAAATAACATAAATTAAAGAGTAAGGGCACCATTTTGCTTTCTAACAATGCATCTCAAAATACTTCGAGTCGCTTCATGCCACAACATGTTAAGGGCTCGAAAAAAAAAATTGAATTCAAGGTTGCCCTTAGGACAGGTATCTGTCAAATATTGCGTGCCCTGGGCAAGCTTTAGTTTGCTCGTTTAATGATTTAGTTGGCAGACGACTTGCCTGAGGGCCAAGTGAGAATGAAAAGTTACTTGCCCAGAAGGAGAATCTACTTGTCCCAGACGACCGGACGGCACTTTTTTCGAGCCTTGATGAAGCGCTGAGACGCCTCAGACAGACTGTGGACTCCTTCACTTTTCAATTTACACTCAATACAATGACTTACCTCTCTGACTTGCCTGGCCACCTTGCTGTCGTAAGGATAATGGACATAGAACTTATCGTTGCGATACATCTTCTTTCTCATTCGATGAGGACCTGAATTATAAAAAACACAGAGTAAAACAAAAACAAAAACAAAACAAAAACAACAACAACAACAAAAAAAAAACAGTCAGGAATTGAAACATGTACGACTCGATTTTGTCGAGGGTGCAACATGATGTGAATACGATTTTTTATGAGAAAACTGCCATGCAGTGTGTGATACATTCTGTAGAAAATTCAAAAATAATTGTCTGAATAGTGAACTTAAGATTCAAAGCTAAGCAAATTCTTTTACTGATCTCATTTGCGCGATGTAGCTGCAAGAGGTTTTAAATTGTCCGTATTATTGGTTGTGAATTGTAGTGAATAGACCATTTTACAGTTGTCTGCTCAGTGACCTGGCCTTTGTATGGCAGCGAGGCTAGAGTTGACCTTGTTTTGATACAGACCTCACTGCTTTTGTCATGTAAATGCACCTAGTTAGCATCAGAACAACTTGTTTTACACAACAAAAGCAGTGAGGTCTGTATCGAAACAAGGTCAACTCTAGCCTCGCTGCCATACAAAGGCCAGGTCACTGAGCAGACAACTGTAAAATGGTCTATTTAACCGCAGTATTTGATGGGGTCTTACAGACAAATGTGTGAATTGACTAGCATGAAATCATTTTAATAGTTTTGTTTGTGAGAAAGTTCTTCTTTAGGACAATTTTCCTCTGGTTGACGATTTTCTTTACTTTCATAAAAAACTGAGAAGGTAAGGAGAAATTTCATCGTGATCAGTCTCGCTTGTTACCTTCCACCATGTCCAAAGCCCACTTGTCAAGCTGTGAGCTGCTGGGTGGACCCCACAAGCCTCGCTCTCGTGTCAGATCAGCATCCATTAGACCCCATTCCTCCGCCACAGACTTGGAAATCAGTTGATAGTTCTGACAACGATAAAGTAACAGTCATGAAACTCAACCAGCAAAAGAAACGATCTTCCAAAAGAATATGGACCTCAAATGTTGCTATCCTAATTTTTCAGTAGTAATCGTATCAGTATCTACATGTTATCTACTAGTGATAATCACATTTGATAAGATTGTGGTAAGACGGGTCGTCTCATATCTCTGCCTATGGAACTCTCTTCCCAAAAACAATTGGCATTCGTAAAGATTCGCCTTTTTGCAAAGGCATTCTATTAAGAATACCTTAACTTAAAATTGTTTCTTGTTGCTGTTCAGCGTTTTAGTTTTCATTCTTATAAAGCGCCATTAGACAGTAAAAATTTGGCGCCGCATAGGTATAAGTGTTATTCAAAGTCGTTACTTACAGACATTAACGGTAGTAAGCCATTTTCTTTTGTAAGTTCTTTTTTTTTCCGCGCTCGCAAGTAGAAATGACATTCTATTGCGCAAGCTTTATGGATCTGTAGATTACAAAACAAAAAGCAAATCTCTTTGTACCTGAAGATGATTTTTGTGATGAAGTCGTACAAGATCTCGCACCACTTTGGTGTGTCTCATCCTCCACAGGTGTGACTCGGTCAGTAATGCTTTAGGGTCTTGGTTCTCTTTCTTGCTTTTCTTTGAGCTGAGCATGCGCAGTGATCGGCCACTCCTTCCTTTGTTGCTGAGTTTCTACAACAACAACAATAACGCAAAAAACAACATACATTGTGTCCTTCGTCCCGTGTAATGAATTTTTTTTCGTCTCGTGCTAAGCAGGCGTTTTCACTTTAACTGCCTTTTTGCGTCTGTTCAGCGAATACCGAAGTGTGATAGTTCAAATAAATACTATTCAGTGGTACTTATACGAGATAATACCTCATACGAAACTCTAGTGTGTGACCATTCAAATGAAAGCTATCGAGCAGTACTTTCATGTGGTACTCTTTAGTATGCTGTACAAGGTGGTTTTAATTTTTAAGTCTGTGGATGAGACCCTAGTATGTGACCATTCAAATGAAAGCTATTGAGCAGCACTTTCATGTGGTACTCCTTAGTATGCTGTACAAGGTGGTCCTAACTTAAAAGGCTACGTGGCCATTCACACTGGGATAACGGAAACAGCGTGGCCGAGTAATTAGCTAGCCGGACTTTAAATCCTGAGCTTGCGTGTTCATGTCCTGTTCTGATCTTTAACTAAAAATGTTTCACAAAGACTGGAGTTAAACTCCTCGGTTGCAAATGTGCAACTAGTTTGACTCCCACCAAATAGGTTTAAACGTTTTAAACTCCTTTTTCCTTATGTTTAAACGCCATTAGCACTTGCGTTAGAGTAAAGTAAAGTAATCTTTATTTTTACAGGGTAGCCCATTCAGCTCGAAGGCTGGTATCCATAGGGGCTCTGTAAATATAAAATTAATTAACTGTACATAAAAAATGATCTGTAGCATTAATTAAATCTCTTACCGGAGTTCCTAATGTCTCAGCTTTATGTTTTTCTTCCAGTGAGATGTACGCCATCCACATCCTAGTGGCAGCCTCACCAATTAGCGGCCTGAAACAATACATAGGAGCTGGTCACGCTAGGTCACACTACGTCACGCCAAGTCATTGATGTCACACTGAGTCGTGCATGGTCGGTTCCGTCACGGTAGTTAACGCAAGGTCAAACTAAGCTAATTCACGTTATCTAACGCCGCTAGTAAATCTAGACATCGTGGCTGATCTGTTGCTCATAAAGTAACAAGGAATATTTTACCTGACAGATTTAAGGTCCAGATTTAAATTCGACGAACCTCCCATTGGCCTAAACAACAGAAACAAAACATTTTCAAGAAATCTTTACCGAAAACAACAGAAACAAAAGTTTGAAAGGCAAAGTTTTCTTGGAATAGGGAATTATGTTATTAGAGGAAGCGTAGCAACGAAGATACGAGACCAAATATTATTTATTACATCGGAAGAATCGTGGTCCCTTATTTTGCTCCAACGAAGGGCTGACACTCAAAACGTTACTTTAGGTGATTTGACACGTAAAAGATACCGTTTGAGTGATTGATGTATAACTTCAAAGAAATCCTTGGCTAAAAATCGATTACCCAAAGTTCCAACATCATTCATTTTCAGTTTTTCAGTGCGATTATCACTGAAAGAGGCGCAAAAATAAAAACAGAGTTGTGTACATGGTAAACACTATAAACACATTGGTCGATCTTACATGTGCTCAACATAATCCCTTGAACTGTAAGAGGTAAAGCTTGGCTTCGGGAGAGCAATCTTGAATGCGTCTTCCATGGCCTGAAAATTCACCACAAAGGAGTATATAAGATTACAAAAACGCTGCAGAGCGTGCAGGCTTCCCTATTGAGAGAACAAATACAGTTTATCCCCTATTAAACGGCCACCATTGGGAAAATGGATAGTGGCCGCTTAAAGGGGGCTGGCCGCTTACTAGAAGTAAAAACAATAGAAAAACCATCTTTGGGACTTTGATTACTGCCGGCCCAATAGGGGTGGCCGTTTACTTTCTTAAAGCTCACCTCTCTTTTGTTCTGCACAAATATATCCCAGACTCTCTCGGCTGCCGCTGCCAGGAGCCTGGAACAGCTCGATTCTTCTTCTTGTTCTAACACATCTTTCTCAACTTCCTCAGTTATCTCTTCACCAACATCAGGAGAACCAACAACAGCTATGCATGAAAATAATATTGATAGCTTTAGTTAGCTTTAACTCGTTTCTCAGATACGTTTTAACTCGTCGTTCCGAAACACTTTTTTTATTCCGCTTATATGCCCTCCGGGTATAAGCCCCCCCCCCCCCCCCCCCCCCCCCCCCCCCCCCCCCCCCCCCCCCCNNCCCCCCGTTTATAAGCCCACCCAAAACCCCTCATAAAGTTATATAAGCCCAGGGCTTTAACATGGGATTTTAGGGTAGCCCAGCCTCTTTATCAAAGCGAGGCCTGGTGCACAACCATTCATATGAAAATAAGTTTAATTTGCATTTGAACGAAATCTCATTTTCATGTAAAAGGATGGGCACCAAGACTCGCCTTGAGAATGAGGCTAAAGGTAATTCGGAAATGGCCAATTAGTTTACACAATAAAATTGAAGAATCACCTTCAGACTTTTTATTGTTGTCTTCCACCGAGAGAGACTTGTGAGTTCCCATAACAAGGAGCCAATGACACAGGCCGGCGATAAAATCTGGCTCGTTGTTGACTGGTGCAAACACCAACTTGTGGTTTGTAGTCAGAATATGAAGGAATTCCAACAGGCTTGTTTGGTCTGAAGAAACAAAGCACAAAAAATGTTAGTGTTGTTAACAAAAACCATGAGTGGGTTAGTAGATTGATGAAAGCAGATGGGAAGATTAGAGTACAAGATTTGACAAGAATTGACACCAAATTTGAAGTGAAACACTGACAAAATAAATCGACTAAAATGTTTTCTTGTACCCTTTAAAAACAACACAACTGGCACGGTTATGCCACTTCAAAACTTGCTTTCTTCACTATAACATGCATCTCCGGAAAAAAAAAGTACAAAAAGAACGACAGCTACCAATGAATGGTTTGCTCGCCAAAACAAACCAAACTGGCTCACATCAGTGCTCTCTTACAACTGCTACATGTATATCTAGCTGTCAGTCACATTCGCACTACATGTAGAATGTAACTAACTCTAATATTTGGTTGTGTTTACCGTTGTATACTTTCTCACCTGTAAGCCGAGCCAAAGGTCTTGACAGTTGGAATAAGATAGATCTGTTCAGCGAGTGGTAAGCACTGTCCAATGACACAGACTGACCTGATGGTACAAAATAAGCTGTCATCAAAATTACTGCGCCACCTCTGACATTTTCCAGAAAATCTCTTGCACTCGATGACAAAGTTGTCGAAGCACCTGTACAGACTATTAAATACTGTAACTTGGGCTACGAACATAGATAAGCGAGATGATATCACACCTTTCACTGCTTCAATCATGCTTGTTATAAAGTTGAATGCCGTCTTGTAACCTTGAACAAAATTTCCTGGAAGAGAACCAAAGAAACAATGAACAATGTTTATTCCGGACTAACACAATAACACGTCTGTTGATCACCTATTTTGGCACCTATCAGAAGATAACTGTAAATGTCAAAGAATATAAATAACCCATGATCTCAAGTCAAAGAAGAGAAAATTGACTGCGCTCTCAATAGCAAACCTTGTAATGTCACGCTCTCCTTGTCACGTCACACAATGATGAGAATATTACGCTAGTCTACTTTCTGGGTGACAACGTTTTCGCACGAAGGTTTGTCAAAACAGCTCGAACAGACTGCGTACTATTGCGTGCTGAAGGCCTTATGACTGTTCAACTTACCAATCCACAGCTTATCAACGACTTTCGAGGCGAAGCAGAAAGCATTGGCCACAATCTTGGCGTGATTTCCTGACCCTGCTGATGGGTTGGTCAGAAGGTTCCCACCAAGGAAAAAATCTATCTGAGCACACAGCACTTCCGTTTGAAATTCCGCTTGTTGTGGCTGGGTACATTTTAATGGATAGGACTGCAACGTGGATAAAAGGATTGTCGGAATTTTCATTTGAAACACTTAATATGAACACCTAACCTGTCCTTACAACATCAACTTATTACAACATCAGTACATTGTCAAAGTTAAAGAGCTCAGTCATGACATTTCGAGTTATTTTGGCCACATGCAAAACTACCTTTAAATTGAAGGAAACTCAAAAATAGTAGTTTACTAAGATAGGAAAACACCAAAGAGATAATAATAAACGATAAAGGAACAAGGATGGTTAAGGATGGAGAAGATTAACAAGGATTACAAACGACGAACTTGAAAAAGTTAGGCTAAACTTTTCAAGGTGCGCAAAACTTGTCACATCATTTACAGGACAAACACAGTGCATATAGCCGCACACCAGGGGGCGTTAGTTTTAAGAGCAAATGTATCTGGCTCTAGGAAACACAACTATAGTCCGTAATAACATGATATTAAGCGGATATCTATTCAAATAGGAGATAAGACTCTCTCCTTCTTACCTCTAGAATTGTATCAATGACTCCCAAACTCTTGGCTGATGTAGGCGAGGTGAGTGAATCAGTCATGATCACCCTGAGGAATTCAAACACACACTTCCTTGCTGGGTGAGTAATCAACAGAGTCCTGGACGAAAACGGTGATGCCTCAGACTCTGTGCCAGGCTCCCCTTCATTCTCACTGTCTGATGCAAGCTGTGTGTAAATGAAGTTGGCAAACAGAAGATCAATGATGAGAATGGTGCTCTATCAGATTTCTAGCTCTGCTTATCTTTTAATTTTTTCTCAATTTATTAGCATTAGGTAGTCGTCACTAAACCAAAGAAAGTTACCTTTCTTACATAAAACTAACGGGAAAGCGGAAGCTGTGCAAATGTCTGAGTGCAAGAGTGAACGAAGAACCTCCATGAGCTGCGCTGTGATTGGCTACCCGAACGGGCAAGATGGAGCTATCTTGCCCGCTCGGGACTACCCGCCGTGTCCCGC